GACCACATCAGCGGACCACATCAGCAGGCCACGTCAACAGGGAGTGCCACGTCAGCCACCCGGGCCTGTTTATGCTGACGCGCTCGCAGACAGCCGTCATGGACCAGAAACCGGGGGAAACGGCGGAGGCATATCAGGACCGCATGCTGGCTTTGATCATAGAAGCCAAGCAGCGGGCGGATGCAGTAGCAGTCGCAGAGAAGAAGAAGGCGGAGGATGCCGAGCAGGAACGACTGCTAGCTCTTGAACAACAGCGTCTGCAGGCCGAGGCAGCAGCGAAGGCTGCAGATGAAGAACAATTGAAGCGGCGTGAGAAGATTTTCAGCGGGGAGCAAGCATTACTCACATTGGCAGCGGAATGGCGAACTGAGGCGGAGACAGGGAAGATGGAGGAGAGCGAGACCAAGATTGCCCTCCTCCTCTCCCATCTCACGGACCTCCTGGCAACATGCATCGCGCACCAGGAGGACATTCACAGCCTCGATGCCAAAGTCAAGAGTGTTCGCAGCCGCGTACAGCAGTTGGAGCAACGACCAGCCGCCGCCCCTGTGGCAAGCTCTTCCAACACATCAGACCGCCTGGACGCATTGGAGACTAACGTCAGCACACTCAAGGACGGAGCACGACTACAACAAACCGCTACTCAACAATTGGAGCAGCGGGTCTGTGCTGCCGCCGCCAGCCCGAGTTCGGGACAGCGCGAGTCAACTCCCAAGTTTGATGGTCAGGAGATCTTCTGCGATTCAACAAATACGGATCCAGTTCATCGTTTCCGCAAGTTTGAACTCACGTTGCAGCTGCACCTCGTCAGCGAATGCAAGCACCACGCGTACTTATACTCCCGGTCGGGAGGCGCATGCCAGGCATGGCTGGACAATCTCTTGTCCCAGTACGGGGTGGTCGCTGCCAAGTTACACACGAAGATCGGTTGGGAAGACCTCAAGGCGGCGTGGCGCAAGCGGTTCCAAGTGGAGCCGCCGAAGATCAAGGCCATGGACAAACTCATGACCTTCGAGCAAGGCTCACTGCCAAGCGACGACTGGATTGCCGAGTACCAACGCTTGACATCCGTCCCAGGTCTCCCGATAGGCTTCAAAGCCATCAAGCACTACTTCATTTCGAGGTCGTGCCCGGCGTTGAGCAACGCCTTGACGCATGTCGAGGACACACTGACAACGACGGCGCAACTGTTCGACAAGGCCGCACAGATTATCATCACGAACAAGGAGGCGAAGAACCTCACTCGTGCTGCGGCAGGCCCGAGCAAGGACCAGCATCGGCCCAAGGTGGCCGTGGTTGCGGCGGCATCGACAAGCAGCCAATCTAGCGAGGCGGAGTCTGCCAATGAAGGAGACAGACTCGCAGCTGCCCGGGATGGTGGCCGCCCCGGCCGAGGCCAAGGACGCGGCAAATCGAAGACAAACACCACATCAAACCCCGGGCCCGGCGCAGCAGCTCAGGGACCCTAGACCCCCTACGGTCTTTCGGAGCAAGCGTACAAGCAACGCACGACGTACTGTTACTGCCTGTGGTGCAACAGCGACTGCCACGAGACAGCGGGCTGCCCTACCAAGGGGAAGGGCAAGCAGGGAAACTGAGCGCCGCCGAGAGTGAGTCGACGACACTCTCGACGCCTTCGGAAACGGTTTCTTCGCGAGTGACCGGCCTTCATTCCGGGGCGCATGCGGAAGTCGAAAGTCCTCTTCTCTATTCTTTTGAGGACTATGCTGCCCGGCTCGTTCCGACGCTGGGATCTTTTGCTCAAGGACAAGACGTGTGTGCGGCATCTTCTCCGTCCGGCAACGGTTCTTCTTCGTCTTCAAGTGGTTCTTCACGGGATTCGGCGCACGGGTTCAACATAGAGGAATTGGACCCGCTCAAGTCTAAGGATTTCGCATGGCTTCCTCTCCCAACCACGGGCCGCTTACCGGGACCGCAATGCACAGCACTCTGTGCCCATCTTCACAAGTACTTGTCCTTCTATGCACCACCAACTTCGCCGACGGATGACGAGGTCGCGGTGGGGGACATCTTGGCATATGTTACCAAGGTGGCCCGCGAGTTTCGCACGCAGCGGTACGACGACAATAATGCACCATTGATGTATGTCCGCATCCAAGTTGGGCAGGCATCCTGCAGCGCTTTGCTGGATAGCGGCGCGACTCGCAACTTCATGAGCCAAGCTTTTCTGCAAAGGGTTGGCCTCGGCGCGCAGGTTCGGAGGAAGGCAAGCCCGACGGCGATCAAGTTGGCGGATGGAAAGACGCAGCAACTTCTCGACCGTTACATCGAGGCCGTACCGGTGTACTTCGCACCTCATGCATGCGAACCGGTCACGTTCGACATCTTGGACACGGACTTCGATATCATCCTGGGAATGCCTTGGCTTGCAAGTGCGGATCACACGGTCAACTTTCAGCACCGGACTCTCACCGTTCGCGACGCCTTCGGCGCTGAGGTGCCGTGTACTATTCCTCTTCCGCACCCTTCGATCTGGTGCCAAGTCGTGACGGCCAAATCGTTCCGAACTACATGTGCATATGAGCAACCCGAAGAGATAGGCCTATGTTTCTTGCGGGCTAGCGCGGTAGCCGACTCTTCACCATCGGACTTGTCTTCGGACCCCCGCGTGGTACGGCTGCTTGATGAGTTCGCCGACATCTTCGAGTCACCTACCGGTGTGGTGCCGGATCGGCCGATCTCTCACGAGATCATTCTTGGGGCCGGTGCCGTGCCGCCGAAAGGTTGCATCTATCGGATGAGCGAGGAGGAACTGGAGGTCCTTCGCGCACAACTCGACGACTTGTTGGCCAAGGGCTGGATCCGCCCTAGCAGCTCCCCATATGGAGCACCAGTTCTCTTCGTAAGGAAGAAGAACAAGGATCTACGTCTGTGCATCGACTACCGCAAGCTCAACGCACAAACTGTGAAAAATGCGGGGCCTCTTCCTCGTATCGACGATCTTCTTGAGCGACTGGGCGGTGCTAAGTTCTTTTCCAAGTTGGACTTGAAGTTGGGGTATCATCAGATTTCGATACGCCCGAATGATTGCTACAAGACCTCATTCAAGACGTGGTATGGGCATTTTGAGTGGGTGGTCATGCCTTTTGGCCTCACCAATGCCCCGACAATCTTCCAGGCGGCCATGACCCATGAGTTCCGTGCTATGTTGGATCGGTTCGTGCTGGTCTACCTAAACGACATTCTCGTGTACAACCGGACTCTGGAGGACCATCTTGAGCATCTTCGACGTGTGTTGGAGACGCTCCGCCGTGCCAAGTACCAAGCCAACCGCGACAAGTGCGAGTTTGTCCGGCAAGAGCTCGAGTACTTGGGCCATTTTGTCACACCAGAGGGCATCAGCCCAAGCCATCCAGGAGTGGCCGGAGCCACGTAACGTCACGGATGTCCGTTCGTTTCTTGGTCTTGCCGGCTACTATCAGCGCTTCCTCAAGGGCTATTCGAAGATCGCGGCCCACTTGACCAAGCTTCAATGCGAGGATCGACCATTTGACTTCGACGAGGATGCGCGGGAATCTTTCTTGGCTCTCAAAGCTGCACTTTTGTCAGCGGAGGTCTTGCGAATCTACAACCCGCTATTGCCCACACGCGTCACTACTGATGCGTCCGGCTATGGTATTGGCGCTGTCCTCGAGCAACACGATGGCGTGGACTGGCACCCGGTCGAGTATTTCAGCAAGAAGGTGCCCGTCGTGCACTCTATTGATGACGCGAGGAAGAAGGAATTATTGGCCTTCGTACACGCACTCAAGCGCTGGCGGCATTTCCTTCTTGGTAGACGGCAGTTCCGATGGGTAACGGACAACAATCCGTTGGTCTTTTACAAGACCCAGGACACAGTCAACARCACCATTGCCCGGTGGATGGCCTTCATTGACCAGTTTGACTTCTTCCCCGATCACATTCCGGGCAAGTCAAACCGTTTTGCGGATGCTCTTTCACGACGTCCGGACCATTGTACCTGTCTCTTATACACATCTAGATGTGTATAAGAGACAGGTCTTTCACGACGTCCGGACCATTGCACCGCCGTCTACTCGACTTTCGAGATTGATAACGACTTGCGGGACAATTTTATCCGCGGCTACCAGGCCGACCCCGAGTTTCACGACAAGTACGCAAATTGTTCCTCGCCCAATCCGGCACCTTCTCACTATCGGATCCAGGAGGGATATTTGCTTGTCCACTCGCGGGGGAAGGATCTCCTTTGCGTACCGAGTGACCCTCACTTGCGTACACGGCTTCTTGGCGAGTTCCACGATGCTCCCGCCACCGGACATTTTGGCGTCAATCGAACGATTGGCCGACTTCGCGAGCGATTTTGGTGGCCCGTCTTCTCGACGACGTCACACGCTACTGTGAGTCATGCGAGATTTGCCGACGTTGCAAATCCCGCAATCATCGTCCGTATGGCAAGTTGCGACCACTACCGGTTCCCTTGCGCCGACAGGAGGCGATTGCCATGGATATCACTGGGCCATTCCCCAAGCACAAGACGGGTGTGGATGGGATTCTCACGGTAGTCGATCGACTCACCAAGTTTGCCATGTTTTTGCCTTGTCGCTATCATGCCAAGGCACCAGAGTTGGTCGAGGTTCTCTACGCCGGTTGGATTCGGACCAAGGGTTACCCCAAGGAAATCGTCTGCGACCGCGACACTCGGTTCATGTCTGATTTTTGGTTGGCGCTCACCAAACGATGGGGCTCATCTCTCAAGCCTAGTTCAGCTCGCCACCCTCAGACGGATGGCTAGACGGAGAGGGCGCACCAGACAGCACAGGTTCTTCTTTGCACTCTCATTCGTCCCGATCAGAAGGATTGGGTTGAGCGGCTGCCGGATGTCGAATTGGCCTACAATTCGTCCATCCACCCGACTATCGGGATGTCGCCTTTCGAGTTTGAGCATGGCCCTCCGGTCACTTCTCCGCTGGACACCATCATTCCACGCACGGTCGAGAGCGACGACCATCTCATTTTCTTGCGCCGGATGCAAGAGCTTCTTGTCAAGGCACGCAATCAGATAGCAAAGACGCAGCAACGCATGAGCCAGCAGGCCAATCGCCAGCGTCATCCTTGTCCATTTCGCGTCGGCGACCTCGTGTGGGTTTCCGCTGCGGAATTCAGCCTTGAGCAGGATATCTCTCGCAAGCTCCTCCCGAAATGGATGGGCCCATTGGGCAGGATATCTCTCGCAAGCTCCTCCCGAAATGGATGGGCCCATGGCCRATTGTAGCACCTGCTGGGGATGCACCTGAGGGACCGTCCTTCACAGTTCAGGTGCCCGCCCACTTGCCCGTCTACCCGGTTTTCCATTGCTCCAAGTTGGCGCTGTACACACCAGCAGATCAGGATGACTTTCCCAGGCGACGATCTCAAGACCCACCCTCTATGGACGGCTTTCAGGAGGTCGGTGACATCATTTCCCAGCGACGCTACGACAACAAGCCGACCGAGTATCTGGTACACTTTGCGTATTGCACCCACCGAGCCGACAGCTGGTTGACCCGTGCGGAACTCCAAGTGACAGCTCCAGATGTTCTCGTACGGTATGAACGAAAGATTCAAGGCAAGCCGGTATCTTCGGCTCCACGCCGCAATCGCGTCCAGGTTCCACCTTCAGATCGTCGGCTGCGCCCTCGACCCGGCTTGACTTCATAAGGAGGGAGGGGTGTTACATGCTGCGCCTACACAGGAGGGCCATTTTCCAGGCCCTGCGTCGTTCAGGCTGGAAGCCTGAATTTCGGGCTCAAGGCCTGGAAATAAGGGTCTGCAGACGGTTCACCCCAAAAGCCTGACATCCGGGGCCCACAGCCCTGCATCGTTTCAGCCAAAAAAGGCATGAGCCTTTTCAGCCTGAAACTGAGGGTTATTTCCGGGCCTGCAGACCCCATGACTGTTCAGCCCAAAAGCCTGACATCCGGGGCCCACAGGCC